GAGCATGCCCCCGGACCCCCCTAGAGGAGGTTAGGTCCCCCCCACTTAAATCATGTTTACATGGATACTAAATACATTTGCACACATCTTGTGTCCATATCTTTCTGTTTTGGTGGTCATGCCACACCGTGCATGCGTGCATGCATGCGTGCATGCGCGAGTCATGGTGAGATATCTGGATTAAGAGGTTGCTTTTTCTTTGCACAGCATGAAAGAAAGGCCAAATGAATTGGCTGTGATTTTAGTTTNGATATATGTATATTGTATATGACTTATATTATTACTGTGCACCACATTGTCTATGTAAGTAGCTGCGACTACTAACTGTGTTCATTGGTTAGCTGCTGTACCACATGATTGATGATGTCACTACCTAGGGTATAAGACCGTTGGAAGTCACGCCCCTTCTCTGTCTGTCCTCAAGCCTCTTGAGATGTGTGCCTAAAATAAATAACGCCGTGATGAATGGCTAAACTTGAACGACTGAGATTATTCACCTTTCTGCTGCAGGAGACAAAAGGTTTAAGTCTAAATCTGCTAACAATTCCATACATCACGTCTCTCCGGTTTGAACTGAAATAATGTTGTGACTCAAAAGACGGTGGCTTACCTGTTTAAAATGCACTGAAGTTTTACCTGAGCACTAACCACAATGCACTGGACCAGCATGTCAGGCTTCCCCATTAACAATCACAGCAAAACTTTTATTTCAGAGACTTCATGGGCTGTGAGCATTTAGAGGCAAGCTCCCATGAGAGTCTGAATTCATTCAAAGGTGAATTCATCTCCTTTGGATAATCAATGTCCAATCAGTAGTCCAAAGAGGAATGCGAAGGCGGCACAGTGGACAGGAATGTCATGCAATACAACAGTACCTGTATCCCAACAGCTACAGCAGCCCAAAATCATCTGGAGTGATGAAGCGCATTTGGAGGGGAAGGCGCATTTCTTTATATTATTTATGTATGTTGGCAAACTCAACACTTGAACCTTCTCTGTGCTCAACATGAAATATTTTGCTATGAGTCACACACATTGTTTCATTTAGCAGTATGACTTGAATTGTGTATGTGTAATTCCTGCCGTTACTAGATTTCCTGTCAATCAACTGATTCATTCATTGATTCATCGTTTCACTTGTTTGTAACGTTAGGTATTTCAATGTTTTGTATTGTAGAAATCTTAACTTCTAGAGCAGACAATAAATGTAATGAAGTGTATAGTATACACTATCTATATATTCATTCTAAAATATTGTGGAGTATAGAAGAAGAACATTTTAAAAACAACACTATAGAGAAAATTAAAAATCTGTTTATATATCTGGGCTGCATTTGAGACAAGCTATTCTCGGGCATTCTGGTTAATATCAGGATGTGCGTCATCTCAACACACGGTGGCGCCCTTGTGTTGCACAAACTGATTAGACTTCATTGGAGGAAAGGTGTGTCTCCACAGGTATGATGACGTCATCTAACAAACAGGGAGTGATCATCAGGTGGCGCTGCATGAAGAAGAGGACGTACTAGATACAGTACAATGTATAATCTGGATCTTAAGATATTTCACTGAATGAGGGGAAATTGTTCACCTGCTAGCGGCGCTAGCTGACAAACTTGATGTATCCTTAAATATCAAAAATTATGTATGGCAGTATTTATTGGAATATATCAGACACACACACACACACACTCACACACACTCACACACACACACACACACACACACACACACACACACACACACCACACACACACACACACGGAGAGAGAACAGCACACCTTTCGTGGACCCTCTGAATTTGAGGGTTTGAGCTGCCTGAAGAGAGTTTTTATTATACAATAATACAAATACAATTGTATTTTTGAGAAGGACAACATTTAGGACTTCCATAATAATAATAAGACATCACTTTTTATTAGACCAACCGAAAGTTATTGCCCAACACACACACACACACACACACACACACACACACACACACACACACACACACACACACACACACACACACACACACACACACACTGCCTGTAATCTTTTTACAAGTTGTTTGATGATTTATTTTACTTTATTATCTCAGGTTCAATATATGTTACATTGTATTCCCGTTTTACTGCAGGACAATAAAAAGGTGTGTTTGTTTAAAGGACCCAGTAACATTTATGATAGATAATAAAATCAACCTTTAGGTCTTATTTTTTATTATATATATTTATACTTTTTTTTACGTTTTTTTTTTTTTTCTCTTAACCTATGTGTTTTAGTTATTATAATTTTTTTAAAATTTATTTTATTAATTTACCCATTATGAGGTTGGTTGGTGTTCCTGTCATGTCATGTTGAAAAAAGAGAAGCATGATATCAAACGCACATACATCTGCACTATGGCTGTATTATATATATATATATATATATGTGTGTGTGTGTGTGTGTGTGTGTGTATCTTTCTTAATAAAGATATTTGAAACAGAAAATGGCATCAAGCTGCTTCTTTAAGATGCAAACAAACAGAGGCGCTGTGGGAAGGTTTTCCCACCGCTCCTCCCTCCCCCTCTCTGGTCTCTCTGGTCTCTCTCTCGCGCTCTCTCTCTCTCTCTCTGGGACCCAAACTTGTTTCAGGAAAAAGCGCCTGAACATATTTTCTCTCTGAAGAAACAGGACGGCCGTGTCGGTGCCAAAGGAGAAGGCGTAAACTTCCTCCAAACATTTCCTCCGCCATCTCCGCTTTCGAGCATTTTGTGGAATCGTTTGTAGCGAGAGGACATTTTTTATTATCTGGTTTTTCCACCTCCGACACCACCTGGTTGTTTCTCTTTTAACACGGACTCCTACTTCCTTTCCTCAAACATCTGAATTGTGCGGACATGGACTGGGGAACAGATCTGTGGGTAAGTTGACAGCTGACACAAGAAGTAGAGCCCTCTGGGAGAAGTCGTTACTAAAACAAAAACCATCCCTTAAGAATACCGCTTTTGTTTTCGTCGACACAATGTGTACTTTTCCACGGCAGGCCTGGGCTAAGTAATCTTGCGGAGTAAAAAAAGGCATCAGCCAGATGATTTCGCAACTCCTTTCTCCCTTCATACCTTTTCATACACAGAGGGGAAAGAAGAGTGTTTTATTACTCTTTCTGGCCACCTTATCTTCACACTGTAGGCTAAAGGTGTACTCCACCACACTCCCCCTTCATGCATGCTCTAACCTGAGCTGTGCTTTGTGATAACACAGCTCTCAGGATTGTCCCTGCATCTGGTCAGTGTCTCCCTTCAGCTGTGAATCACAGTGACAGTCATCAGGTCAGATAACAGTGTCCTCTGTACAGGGAGCAGGAAGAAAAAGCACCCAACACAAGGGGCATCTGATCAGGGCTGCAAGTTACAATTATCTGCATTAGTTTCCCGGTTAACCATTCAATTGTTTGGCATATGAGGAATGATTAATGTACAACATATTACAATATGTGGTCAAATTAGTGCTGAGTATTCAGGAAACCATATATTCTGACATGATTGACCGAATACCTCAATATCGTTACAAATATTTTTGTTCGAACCCTTTTACCGGCTATTTTGAGTATGTGTTGGACTCTCATGGCCTTAAAACGAGGGTTAATTTATCTAAACCTAAAGGGGTCTTGTTATGATAATTTTAAGGTTTTACATTTCAGTATTTTGTGCCTCTACTGCGACATGTTTACATGATTTAATGTTCAAAAAGTGTTTTATTTTTCTCCTACTCCCTGAGCTGCAGCACCTCTTTTTAGCTGGCTGGCTCTGCTGTGATTGGTTTTTGAGATGTCCCGCCCCTTAGCCAATCACATACTATGTGCGCTAGCAAATAGAAGCACACGTGTTACATAGTGATGTCACTATGTTACAGAGGTAAACAAAGGAGTTCAGTGTAGG